GCCAGGACTGTGCCTTTGTTGCCAGAGTCTTATCTGTTAGTATCAATACGTGTTTACGTGATCATCACCAAGGCCTTGACAAGGCTCCGTGGGGGTGGATGCAAAGGAGATTGAAGTAGAAAAGATGGGTGTGTATCAGTTATCCTAGAAGATATGCCTCCTACCTGTATACAAGTACAGTATCGAATTTTGGATCTTGGGCTTTGAAATTAGATGGGCCTAGCTGTGTCTGTCCCTACTTTTTAAAATGCAGGCAGTGATAGCATGTAATTTGTACCAGTGGTTTTCAGCTGGAGTGACTTTTGTCCGTGAGAGTCATTTGGCCAGGTCAGGGAACATTTTTATTGTTATAATTGGGGACGGAGGGAGGACTGACCTTGAGTGAGTAGAGTGCAGGGATGCTGCTGAACACCCTATGGTGCATGGGGCAGAATAAGGAATTATAATCACAACTGACAGCAGTGCTGGGTCAGAAACCCTGCCTTCTAGGTTTGTGAAGATGAAGCCAGATAGTGAATGCCATCTCAAAGCTTGTAAAATCAGCTTTTAGGAGGGTGAACCCCCAAAGGCTCAATTTCCATAGCATCTGTGATTCTTGCCAAGGAAAACCCTTATTATAAGGATTTCGTGCCCCTCCTGTTTAAGAGGACTCACTGGAGAGTGTTTGTGTTACATTGTGTACTAACATGAGCTGGCTGAATTTATCTGAGCTGTAAAAACAATTGTTAATTTTTAGGGTGTTCCTGGTAAACTTCCTGCTCGCTTAACTAGTTTGTTCTGCGGAGATAATTTTGGTGTGTGGGTTTAAATCCTGACGGAAAATGTTTTGGTTAATGAATTTCCAAAGTAGTTTTGACAAGTGGGATGTGAAGTTTTTGTTTTCATATCAAGAAGCCTAATGTTTTTCTAGCCTTAGATTTAAAACAAAGCCACTCTTCCATCAGTTTACTGTCTTACCTGCCCACAGCACAGTTGTTTGGGTATTTGTGGGAGTGGTTTGGAGAGTTGTTGGATTTCCATCGATTGTATGTTGTGGGTTTGCAGGGGAGATTGTTATTTACATTTTTTTTGTAATTATAAAAGTAATATGCACCTTATAGAAGATTTTAGTAGTATAGAAAAACCCTAAAGACATAGTAAAGTCATCAGTAATCCTACTACACAAAGGTGCAAATAGTATTGCTGTGTTTCTTTCCATTTTTAAATTTTATATATTTTTCCATATTTGAAATATTCTGAATATTTGTTTTCCCCCTTTATTATACTTAATATCATTTTATTTGCCTTTCCCTACACTACACTATTACTAGAAATAATATAAATATTATTTCTAAGGATGTAGAATATTCCATCTAGGGATATTTCATGATTTATTTAATCCCATTGTGGTGCTTGTTTTCAGTATTTGATGAGCATCTATGCAGTCAGCATTTTCTCTTTCAGATCATTTTTATCTTTATCATAGATGACAAAAAGTAGAAGGGATGGGCATGCATATGGGTATCTTGATTGATATGGTTATTGGTTGCCAAAAAAGTGTGTACTAATTTTTGCCACCAGTAGCAGAATGATATTTTAATAATATTTGGTAATTTTCTAAAAGATATTTCGTTTTTTTGGTTTATTTTTTTAAATATATATTTTTAAGGGTTTTATTTATTCATGAGAGACAGAGAGAGGCAGAGACATAGGCAGAGGGAGAAGCAGCCCCCCCCCCCCACAAGGAGCCTGATGCGGTACTCCATCCCGGAACCCTGGGATCACATCCTGAGCCAAAGGCAGAGACACTCAACCACTGAGCCATGCAGGCGTCCATGGTTTATTTGATATTAGTGAGATCAAACATGTTTATCTGACTGTTGACTATATTTCCTGTTTAACTGTTTATGAACTTTGCCTGTTATTGGGAATTAGTATTTTCTCATTTGTCATAAAGTTTGTATTTCATTTATTAACCCTTATTAACCTTTTCTCATTATTGCATGTATTTTCACATAGTCCCCCCCCCCCCAGCTCTCTCTTTGGTTTGTCTTTCAATTTTGTTTTTAGTCCTACAGAAGTGTAAAATTTTTATGTAGTCAAATCTTGATTTTTTTCTTTTGCACGGTCTTCAGCCTTCCTTTGTCTATACTGAAATGATCCCTTTTCTGTTCTGGAAGCCACTATACTGAATTGTCAGTGTTTAAAATTCTATCCCCACTCTAGACCACTATAGAGTCCCTTAATGAGGACAAATGGGCCTCAAGTGCTTGCTCTAATACGAGCACCCACTGTGTACCATGGGAAAAACCACCACATCTCTGTATGTGTGGTGTGTGTGTGTAGATGGATGGGCGGGCATGAGTGAGTAGGGAAAGCTGATGAGAAAGGGTGAGGCTCAAGCTGGACCATGGCTTGTTTGGTTTTATTTTAATTTCCTTTCCCACAGGGTAGAAGTGAGCTTACCTGAGGGCAGGGGCTTCCATCCATTCTCACATGGCTGAGTAACTGGGACCAGCAGCTTGCCTAGCAAACTGTGGCTGTGCCTGGCAGAGCTGGCCCACAACAGTTATTTTATTTCTCTAGTGGTAGAGAAGTTACACTGAAGAGAGATGGTGGCCAAGTCCTCTCCTCTCCTTACCCCTTAAGTTTCATTCTCTTGGGTGCCAGGGTTTGTGTTGCTCAGGCCTCCAGAAGGTAATTCTCTGCCCTGTGGGTGGATTCCTCTGATGCAGTTCCCAGCTGAAGTGTGAAGAGGAAGGGAATAATAACATACAAATAGTGCTTACTTGTTTTGCAAGTGCTTTCACTATGGCTTTTTTATATGCTTCTCACCTCAATCTTACGAGGTTAAATACTATTTTCATCTCCATTAATTTGGAGGAAACCACCACTCAATAGAAGCATAATTAAAATCCAGAGCTTCTGACCCCAGAGCTGATCCTCTGTACTTAGGAAACAATTCTGTCATTGTAATTTCTGGTTGTAATTTCTTGGTGGTGTTATTGGGTAAAGGTAGCAGCAGCTTTGGGTTTTGGAGTCAGCCATATTTTGGATGGAATCCCAATAGAGTCATGTCTTAATATTGTGACTTTGTGATGTCACCAGCATGAGCCATGGTTTTCTTGTCTGTAATTGGAAGCAACAATGCCTACCTTACAGAGGGATATGAGAAAGATTAAATTGGGGAAAAAATATATATATATATATATAGTGCCTAGCACAGCCCCTGGCTTACTCATTGCAGGAGCTCAGTAATGATTGCTGCCTAATCTAATAGCTAAAAATGCTAGTTCTTAAAAAAAAAAAAAAATCAGAATCACTGGCAAACCTGCTCAGACTTGTGAAATTTAATAAGTATTATTTATATTTCAGTGCAAGAAACATTTCTTTCTCTGGCCTACTTATTTTCCTGTTGAGTAGATTTTGTTTTCTGTAATGGATGTCAACTGCTTCTCTGAAATCCTGAAATCCTTTTGCTTGGAGAACTTTGTGATGAATCCCCACTTTAGGACTGTACTCAGAGCCAAAATAAATCATGTTTTGTCTACATGTTTATGTAAAAAGCACAGACAGTTTTTTGGAAGGGCCATAACCTAGTCATTCCTTTACACATAGTTGAGATTTTTGGCATCATTCATGTTACCTGTTACATGCCCTGTGTATTATAAACATTCAGGTAACAAAGCAGTCTTAACAAGAAAGTTGTAGAAAGTCATGAGAAGAGAGAAAGTTGCCGAGGAACTCAGGAGAATGGTTGTTGATTAAATTTCCATTTTTCATACTATATATAAATTGAATTGGCTTTGATTAGTCCTTATGCTAGATTTTGTCATCCATATAAAAAGCTACCACTAATAATATAAATTATTTCTGCCTAAAGAATTTTAACATGAGGGTTGTCTTGCCATTTAACTTCTATTGTATATTTATTCAGACTTTTCCATTTCAATAAACTGAGCCAAGTAATTATAAATGTTAGCCTAAAGTTCTATTATAATCCAATGCAGCCTTCTTTCTGTGCAGTAAAAGATAAGGCCCTTGGCAGTCTTCTTTAAAATTTGTCTTGGATCTTCTTACTTTTTTGTCCCTGAAGCCATTGTTGCATTTTCAACAATACACCATCTGAGTATTGGAATGGGGAAAGGTTAATGTGAATGGAGCTTTATTGGGTTCATAGCTAACCTTGTTCTTCTTCTGGGAAATTTAGTCTACTGTCCTATGGTTTTTCCATCTTCCCCTCCCCCTATGCTAGGAATGGAGAGACAAAGATGGGAATCTCTATTTAATGTCATTTATATAAGCTACATAAATTAGAGTCATAAATTAGTTGCATTTTTATATAATTCATGCCATATGTATATGTTTTATGTAACACATGGATACTGCTAAGTATCAATGATTAAGTGAAATTTACATGATTTCTAAATTCCCTCTTCTGTCTAGAGTTCAAGTATCAAAATGAATGAACTGTTGGCCAAATCTTGGGACGATTGCAAAGTGAGTGTAGGACATTGTAAAATGCCACACCCAGTTTTAATGGTAGATAGGCAGTCGTTTTCCTAAAATTCCAGGCCTAATGTTTGATTTCTTAATTTGCAACCAGAGTGGACATTTGGGGGCAGAGGTGAGAGTGTTGATAATGGTGAAAGAGTAGATTTAAGTGTGGAAGAATAAAATTGGTGCTGATGTGACTATTAATTTACAGGATACAAAGGTCTAAAGACTGTGCTTTGTGATCCCCAGATAACAATCCAGTTGGGCAGCCCTGAGCCCATCACTCCAGCCAGATTGTTTTGGCACCAGCCCTTTGAAACAAAGCCTGAGAATGCAGAGAGTTTTACCAGGCATTTCTTGTTGCTGGCTGGTTGGCTTATGAAGTAAATAGAGTAATTAGCTCTCATTAGCACTCCCACAAGCTGTAATGCATCCACCTGAGGCAGAGAGAGGCTTGCTTCTGTTCTTGAAAACGTGAAAATCCCCATCTGATCTCTTTGGTCCGAACATTTTTTGCATTGCAGAAACAGAATGCCAATTTGGCAAGAATAAAATCCACCAAGTGTTTCAAATGACAGTAGAAAATCCTACTGACCAGAGTGGAAGGCCTTCCTGAGGACGATGACTATGCCTAAGAAATTGGTGAGCCTTATAAAGCCTTTTCCTCTTTTCCTGTCTCTCTTGTGTATTTGAATGACAGGAACCAGGTTAGCCAAGATATTGAACCCTGGTGGTCATATGACTTGATCTCCTGAGCCTCTTGTCAGCTTTTTTTTTTTTTTTTAAATATATTTTTTTAATTTTTATTTATTTATGATAGTCACACAGAATGAGAGAGAGAGAGGCAGAGACACAGGCAGAAGGAGAAGTAGGCTCCATGCACCGGGAGCCCGACGTGGGATCCGATCCCGGGTCTCCAGGATCGCGCCCTGGGCCAAAGACAGGCGCTAAACCGCTGCGCCACCCAGGGATCCCGTCTTGTCAGCTTTACTTCAGAAGTTGTGGTACCAACAGAGTGTGTTGTTTCGAGTCTTTGAGAGAGAGAGACCCCTCTGAGGGTGGTTTGTGGCCCTCTCCAGGACTACCTGCTATTGTAGTCCTTGTTCCTCTGAGATATAGATCTGTACGTATGAAGGTGGGAGCCAGAAAAACACATGGAGGAGGGAGACAGAGTCTTCAGGCTTTGCACACAATCATGGAGAAATATGTAGAAAAAATTGCAAATTGGCAGGTTTTATAGGAAAGAACCCTGAACCAAAAATCTGGCAGTCTGAATCCAGCACTGATCAGGTGTGTGAACCTGGGCATAATAGTAAAATAATACCAGTCGTGCCCTCACAGGGAGAGCGGTGAGGGTCAAATGAGACAATGCGTAAAGAGCAATAAAATGTTAAGCAGGAGTGTGATTTTAAGTTGAGTTTTTCATATGGAGTACATTATCTACATTTTTAATTTTCTGAACTCAAACCTTTAGTAATAAAATACAGACACTGTACAAGTACCTGCTTTTGCTCTGACTTTTACTTTTGTGACATCTCAGCCCAGGCCCTAAACTGGGCTAGAGCCTGAATGACTGGTTGATGGTTCCTTGAGGTTTTCTGGAAGGTGGTACTGCCTCCTGGGCAACACTGTAGCAGTAGCTCTTGATTCTTGCTCAGGCCTGTCATCTGTGTTCTTTGGGATGCAGTAAATACTACAAAGTCATCAATAATCTGTTAGCCCCAAGAATTGTTCCCTGTTATTAAAAGTTTGAGATGCTGGGGAAAAAGTGTTCAGGGCTTATTTTCATACTTATATGTAGAACTCTTCTCTTTAAGTAGCATTAGAATGATTCCCTAGGATTTGAAGTCATGAAGCAAGCGTGTTTTATGTGGGGAGGAGTTTGCTCCATTGGTTAAGGTTGAAAACATAAGACCTGGCATCCTGGGATCGAGATCTGGTGTCAGTTTTCAAAGCCACCTGATGTGATGTGCAAATCACTAGCCTGGCAATGTCTCACCTTCTTTGTTTGTGAGCCTGTGATATTCCTGGGCATTATTTAACTCCTGTCCCTGTTGACTGAATTGGGTTGGTGTTTAGAAAGTGACCTAGGCGGCACCTGGGTGGCTCAGTTGATTAAGCAACTGCCTTCAGCTCAGGTCATGGTCCAGGGGTCCAGCGATGGAGTCCTTTGTTGGACTCTGGGCTCAGTGGTGGACTCTGCTTCTCCCTCTCTCCCCTGCTCATTCTCTCAAATAAGTTAAAAAGAGAGAGAGAGAGAGAGAGAGAGAGAGAGAAAGTGAAAGTGACCTGGACTATCAAACATTTGTAATTATTAAACTGAGAAATATTTCAAAGATTATTTTTGGCCTTCATCAGACCTATGATAGTATGTCATGATAGAACATGTCAAGGGCCTGTGAATTCCTCAGTACAATTGAACAAATAACTTTCTACACTTAGGAAATAGCCTGTCTTTGATGAGGTATATTAGAAGCACAGTGAGAATTGGGTGTTGAAGGGTTTTAGGGGTGAGGAAAAGGCAGTAGGATTTGGTGGAGGAGAAGCTGACCAGCAATGCAGTTAGAACTGAGGCTCTAGCTGCTCTTATGGAAAGCTCTGGCGTTGGGATGTCCCCAGTTGAGGCAAGAGACTGGACCTTTGTGTTCCTGAATCAGCCCATGGCTGGCAGCTGGCCGGCCACCCCTTCTGGTGGCTTAACCTTGATGAAGCAGTGTCCTACAGCTGGCTGGGGACCTTCCCTGTGAACTGTCAGCAGCCAGGGACGAGTGCAGCTGGCTCTCAGAAATGGGGTTTGGGTGGAACATACCAATGTCCACTCCCCTGTCTCAAAGAATCTAACCCCTTAAAAAAAAGAAACAGTAATAGCACCAAAATACTGGCATATATGGTCTCTTTACCTGCAAAGTTAGAAAGTTTGGATCCCTTAGCAAAACCAAAGGAAGAGGTTATACCCTTTTGTTAATGATAAACAGATCTCCAGCCTTTCAGAAATTTGTGAAATGCTTGGATAATATTTATACCTGATTGTGATATAGCTGGAGCCAGCTTCTGTATGTGTGAAATGGCTGACTTGTAATTGAGCGATTCTGCCCAAGGATGAATTACTGCATGTTTAGAATATTAATCATGTGTACATAAATACATTTGTTTCTGGAATATTTAAACTCATGTTGAATTTACAGAATTGGTGGGTCACCACCACAAAAGTCAAGCAAAGCAGGTTGAGGCACACAAACCATCAAACCCAGAAATATCCAGGGGATCTTAACAACTGGAGGGCAAATATGGGAGAATGTGGCTTCTGTTCAAGTTCCAATCACTGGATAGGGCATTTTAGTATGGTCGAGGATGGTAATTTAGGAGTTACATTGCCAGAGGATACATTGATATGCTTTGAAAAAATGAACCAGTTTCCTGGCATTTCCAAAAGTCAATTGTATTCCGCAAATGTCTGAAACTGTCTGGCATGGTTTGTGGTATAAGTGGGATGGGTAAACAAGGCCAAACCCCTACATGTTTTCCAACCTCAGATTAAGTCATATCTGTAAAAGCGAACACAGTTCTTCCTCAATTTCTGCCTTCTAGTGAGTCAAGGAGGCAGGGGGTTCTGCTGGCCCATCATTGGAGTAGTTTGAGTGTTAGGGGGCTCAGAGTAGGGAAGTCGGATGATTTAGGCCTGGTATGGCACAAAGTGGATTTCACTTCTCAGCGAGTCCCCCTCATCTCCTCTGTAACCCTTGTATTCTTTGCCCTGCCACTCAGAAGCTCCATAATGCCAAGTCACACAAGATTATTACTAATCTGCTCTTATAGGTGTAGTAGAGAGATAAATAGGTCACTGTTCCTTATTCACAGGCCGAACAACTCCAGCTGCTTTGGTGGTAGGTTGGTTCTTTTTGTTTGTTCTTTTCTTTCTTTCAGATTCTATTTATTTATTCATGAGAGAGGGAGACAGAGACAGAGACATAGGCAGAGGGGGAAGCAGGCTCCCTGTGGGGAAATTGATCCCAGGACCCTGGAATCATGACCTGAGCCAAAGGTAGATGCTCAACCCCTGAGCCACCCAGGTGCCCCTGGTGGTAGGTTCTGTATTAGACCCACATCTCCTCTCTTGAGGGATGTGGCGATTTGGTGATTGCATGTGGAGTAGGTGATCTGGCAGTCAGTTTATTGTATTGCCTGGAAATGGGAGATGGCATAAAATAAGGTTTTCTCAGATGAGAAGCAAGTTAATGTAACATAGTGACTCTGCTGCAGAGGAATGGCCAAGGTGAGTCGAACATGTGCACTGTGTCTTCTTGAAATCTCCATGTGGATGGTCTTTCCCAGTGTGACCTCTAGAGTCTCAGGTGATCTGATAGTACAGGGAGCAGGCAAGGCCAGCTGTACTGTGGTTTGTGATTTCCTCTAGTTTTATCTTTCTAACATGCCTGCACATGTGTATTGGCATTCTGGAAATTTCGGATGGGGAATCTCCAACTATGACTTTTCGTTGTGACTCACACCTGCAAGGGATGAATCCAGAAGTTTCTTTGCAGAGAAGTGTGGTATAGTGTAGGGATAAGTAACTGTTGTTAGGAGAGAAACCTTGAAGAACCAGAATTTTTAAAAAAGAAAAAGATTGAGGAAGCCTATCAAGAAAAGAGAAAACCAGAGGTGATCTGGCAAGTGTTGCTTAGAGCTGTGGGAAATAAGTCAGGAATAAGACAAATGGAGAAAAAGTCACACAAAACGTTGGCCATTAGGGTTTCCCCAAGTCTGAGGACCAAGGTGGCACTGAGGGGCTTGAAAATGCACTCCCCCATGCATCCACCTACTTTTGCCTCTGTTTTATCTGGAACCAGAAGGTTCTGACACACTCCTGGAGTGGATACTGTTTGGCTGTTTGGAAGGCAAGATGTCGAAGTGTGAGGGCATCTTGCTTCCTTCTAGAGCTGCTGTGGCATAACCAACCTGCGAAAGGACACAATGGTTAAGGGCACAGGCCGTGGAACCGCACAGACTTCTGCCGCTTAGTCAGGTATGACTTAAACTCCAGGCCTCAGAAAACAGGAATGCGGATGAAGTTGGTTGTATTTGATGGGGTTGTGAAGGGTTTAGCAGAGCATAATGAACTAAGTGCTTAAAACAAGGTAAGCGTTGTTACATGCCAGGAGTTATGGGATTTGTAAAAGGCCCCTTCCTAAGGCCCCTTCCTACACTCTTGGCCCCACTGTCACACTTTGAACCTGAGCTTGGTCTCCGCAGGGAGTTAGACACTATCGAGGCTCTGGTGGGTTATTAAGAGCAGCTGCGGGTCCTTGCCAAGGGCTCTGGGTGTCCATACATTGTCCATCCTGAGAATTCTTGTACTTATACCTCTTTTCTAGAGGCCACCCACACACATTGGCTTGGAATGGATCTGGGCACTATTTTTATTTATTTTATTTATTTTATTTTTTATTTTTTTCTGATGGGCACTATTTTTAAATCTCTCTGCATAATGGGGTGCCCTATTAAATATATGTAAATATTCACCTTGTAAGCATCTTTTTTGTACACAAGGGTGCAGAATGAAAGGGCCTATCAGGGTTGCCTGCTGTGTTTTAGGGGTTTGCATGATTATGTTATTGTGTCTTCCTACAACAGTAAGAGAGGAA